AGTTCCTTCCTGCTCCTTTGTAATCAAACCACCCCCCCTTGCTCTGACTCCTGGAAAACACAGATTTTTCTTCTTAAATAAGATTGCCTTTTTTTTATAATTTAATGTAAATGGAATAGCACAGTATATAGTCTTTTGCATTTGAGATCTGTCTAAATTGTTGGGTGTATTAATAATTTGTTCCTTTTTATTGTGCAGGAGTATTACTGTGTATGGCTATACTATAATTTGGTTATCCATTAACCAATTGGTGGACATATGGATTGATTCCAGTTGGGCTGTTATAAATGAAGCTTCTTTGAACATTCTCATACAAATCTTTGCATGGGCATGTATTTTTATTTATCTTGTGTAAATATCTAGGAGTGGAATGGCTGCATTCTATGGTACGTATGTGTTTATAAGAAACCACCAGATGTCTTCCAAAGTGGCTGTATCGTTTTGCCATTTTGCCATTCCCACCCACAATGAGTTCTAGTTGCCCCACATCCTCACCAATACTTAGTATTGCCAGTCTTACTCCTGTCAGCCATCCTGGTGGATGTGTCGTGGTTTCTCACTGTGGTGTTAATTAGCATTTCTCAAATCTATTTCGTGTGTTTATTTGCCATTCATTTATCTGCTTCAGTGAAGCGTCTGTTCAAAATTTTTGCCCATTTGTGAAAGTGGATTTTGTTTTCTTACTATTGAGTTGTAAGCTGTCTTTGTAAATTCTGTATAGACGTCCCTTATTACATGCATGATTTTTCAAATATTTTCTCCTAATCCATTAGTTGTCTTTTCATTTCCTTAAGGTCTTTAAAGAGTGGAATTTTAATTTTGATGAAATTCAACCTTTTTGTGTCTTATCTCACAAAATCTTTGTCTGTCCCAGTGTCACTAAGATGTTCTCCCATGGTTTCCTTTGAATTTTATTTTAGATTTAAGTCTTACATTTAGGTTTGTGCTCGACTTCAAGTTAACTTTTTAATGTGGTGTGAAGTAAGGGTTGAGGTTCATTTATTTATTTGTTTGCTTTTGTAGGAGGATGTTTAGTTGTTCTGGCACTGTTGAAAAGACTTTTTTTCCCCATTCAATTACCTTGGTGCCTTGGTCGAAAATCAGTTGACCATGCCTGTATGGCTTTCTGGACTCTTTTTTCTCCATTCATCTATATTTCTATTCTTATTCCAATACCATACTGTTGCATTTACTCTAGCTTTATACTAAGTCTTGAAATCAGTTCGTGTAATCCTCCAACTTGTTTTTTTTTTTCTCAAAATGGTTTTGATTATCCTAGATCCTCTGTATTTCCATATAAGGTTTACAATCAGCGTGTCAAATTCTACGCACACAGAAGTCTGCTGGGATTTTGCTTGGCATTGTGCTGAGTCCATAGATCACTATGAGAAGTGACATCTTAGCAATGTAGAGTTTTCTGGCCCACGAGAACAGTATAGCTCTCCATTTGTGTGCTCCTTTTCAATTTCTTTCTGCAATGTTTTTTCCTTTCCGTGTACAGATACCGCATATGCTGTGTAAAATGTATCTGTGAGTATTTCATATGTTTGATGCTGTTACAATGATATTTTTATTTCAAGTACCAATTGTTCATTGCTAGAATATAGAAATTCAGTTGGTTTTTTTTCAAAATCTTGCATCTTGTGACTTTGCTGCTTAATTTGCTAATTAGTTTTAGTAGCTTTATGATACATTTCTTAGGATTTTTTACATAGAAAATCAGGTCTTTCTGGATGAGAGTTTTACTTATTCCTTTCCAATCTCTAAACCTTTAATTTCTTTTTCTTGCCTTATTATCCTGGCTGGAATCTGCAACACAACATTGAGTAGAAGTGATGACAGACATTCTTGTCTTCCCAATCCTAGGGGGAAAGCACTCAGTCTTTACTATTAAGTGTGACGTTAGCTGAGGTTTTTTGGTAGATCCTCTGTAGGGAGATAAGTATTTTTAACTGGATATATTGCTGCCCAAATCTTTTGGGGTTTTTTCTAGAAAAGAAGAAGGGAGAATGGACATAGGCATCCATCAAAAGGGAGGCCAGCAGGGGTTTCTTTATGAGTTCAGCCATGTCTTAACTGTGTGATGATTTATTAGGAAGTAAGCATTTATTTCCATTAGAGGTTTTAAGTGTGGAATATGGTTCACATTACACATGACCATGTGTGACAGTGCATCTTTATGAACTGTATTTGGGAGGGACAGGTGCTGCCAGGGAACCAACTCCCCATTAGTCCATTGGGAGGCAGTGTAGCCTGTGGTTAGAAACATGGGCTCAGAAGCCTGGGTGCCTAGTCCCAATCCAGCTCTGCAACCTTGGGCAAATTCCTCACCCCGTGTCAGTTTTCCACCTGCAAAAGGAAGGTATCAAAAGATGTCAGTAATTCCTACCTCCGGGGCTTCTGAAGACTCAGTGAGCAAATGCAATGAAGAGCTTAAAACAGCATCTGTTGTCTGGTGCATTTTAAGAAGGCTTTAGTTTACATAAGGCTAAGTTACATACAAGTTTTCAGTAGCAGGTTTACTGCTTGAAGTAAAGAACAGCCATCCATTAAAAAAAAAAAAAAAAAAATCCGCTCTCCAGAAACCTCCTATTAAGGTTTTGTAAGGAGAGAGGATTAGATACTTGATTTTTGTTGTTTTGCATGTTATTGGTACAACAAATACATTTAAAAATCTTGTGTATTGCATAGGCAACTATCAGCTGGATTATAGTTGTGGGCAGTGACACCCTAGAGTTCACACGGAGTCTACACTTAAAGGCTGAACCAGAGTTTGACCTTCTGATCTGCTTGTTTTGACCACTTGACAGTGGGCTGGAATGGGACCCCACACACTGTCCCTGGGCTGCCCCACCTGGACGTGTGGACCACTGTGCAGCCCCCAATTGGCTTCAGCCTATTATTTCTTGCCAGTAAACTCTAATTCAAGGGGACAGAGGCGTCTCAGTCAGTCTGTCACTTTCCTGGGCATCTGCCTTTCTATCGACATGTTCCAAGTCCTGGGTGCCATCCTTCAGTGGGGGGTAAGTCATGCCAGCCTTCCTGTCTGGTGTGGGGTGTGAGGGGACACTTGCCAGCAGGAACGAGGTTACTCTGAACCTGCTCAAGTGGGTCCTGCTGCAGCACTGTGATGCTGACATATAAGGAAAAGCACTTAGGAACAGGCTGGCAGGCCTTCAAGGGGCCTTTCCCCTTAACTTGAACTCGCTTTTTTTATTTTTTGCCTTGTACTTTTTGAGGGTGCAGTCACAGCGAGTTTTGTAAAGGGCCTTCTGCAGTGTTTTCTCATCTGAAGTCCCTTCTTCACACAGGGTCTACATTGTCCAGCCAATTTTCTGTTTCTGGTTTTCTCTAGATCAGGCCATTGAAAGACTTAAGTGTGTATGTTTAGTTTTTTAAAAATATAACATGCCCTCAGCTCTGTTTGGACACATCTGCACACTATTGTACCCTTCCTCTCTCCTTCCCATACAGCCAGGGGGGGACAGGGAAGGGACGGCCAACACATGTTTAGGAGAGCCCACCCACGAGGCCCCAGCACAGACTGCCCGGCGTTTTCCTCTGCAGTGTGATGGGTAGCGTTTGGGGACAGGAGTATTTGCCAGCCCTTGTCCTCACCTCTGCCAGAGATGTGCTCTAGCCCGTTCCTTGAGAGTTGATTCTCTATCACACCTTTTCAGCTGTAATTTTGACACCAGTACCAAGAGGTACTGATTCAGGGAGCGAGACAGACATTATCCTCTCCCTTGACTGTCATAAGACGCCCCAGTTAGGTGGAGACTCCAAGGCTCATGTGACATGATCCTCCAAACTCTGCCTGCTGCTCCAGGTAATCATGCTAAATTATACATGGGAAGAGGCTTTCTGCAGTGCTGTTTTTCCACTGGAGCACAAAGCGTTCTGTTATAGGAGGGCTTTGACAAAGCAAGTCCTCCAGGCCCTGCAGGAACCGTGGAGCTGCAGGGGGCAGGTTACCTTCCAACCACAGGGCTCGGCATGTGAGTTTAAAACAAATGGGAAGCAGATGCATAGAGTCTGACTTTCTATTTGAGTGTCGTTTCTTTGAGCAAAGACAAAGGCTAAAAATTTAAATATCAAACTGTTAGGTTTTCGAAACAAAAAAAAGAAAAGGCAAGAAGAAACAAAGAAAAGTCAGAAGTGACAAATTTAACACTCTTCTCTGGTCAGATAAGAATCTGCTCTTAGCTCCACGTAAATGACTAACTGCCAGCTTCGTGATTCGGCATCTTTCTCTTTGTGTATTTTCTTCATTCTTATCTTCTTCTAGTTCTATTTCCTCACTCCTCGCCAACTAAAAAACAGCAACAACAACAACAACAAAACAAAGCAAAGAACAAAGTAAAACAACTCCCTTGGTTGGTGTGATTGAAAGATCACCTTCCATAGGGTATACCAGCTGAAGGGATGGATGATGTGGAGGTGCTGTGCATGCAGGTTCCACGCTCCTGGGGGCCCCTCACACACATCACACCTGGCCACGGCCAAATGCCAGTTCTGGAGACCTAACAGGCATTCAAGAAACAACTTGAGAACGAATGGAAGTACCTGCCTACAACAAAAGGAAGGCGGGAGGAAGGCAGGTTCGTTTTGCTGCAGATTAGACTTACGCAGTTCGTTCTGTTATTCCCAATTCCTCAGGCAGCGAGCGACCCAGTTAACACAGTGTCGCTTTATCAATGCTTGCACTCTCCCCTTCACATTGTTTCCTGGACGCCTGTTCCATCTCCAGAGTCGGCAGCTGGTAGTGGCCACATTTGCTCTGTGTGAGGAATTCCTACAAACATAGAAGCTGGACTCACAGTACACTGATGGCATTTCTTCATCAACAAATAACTTCTGTGGGTCACGGAGGCCAGCCTTGCAAGTTACCCAGGCTTAAGGTGGTATTAAAAATGTGCAAATTTGCCATCTACCTTGTTTCTAAGCTCTGTTCTCCGAGAAGATCATCGGTGGTTATTTCTATTCTGTCCACTTGACAGGTGATGACCAAGAAAGAGGACTTTTTCAGTGCCTGGAACTCGTGTCTTCATCATGTTGCCTCCCTGTCTCTGGCACACATCCATAGAGGTGAGTTGGCTCTTGTTGAATATTTATAACTGGGAGGCTCTGGGGGCTGCAGGGTACCTGGGAATAAGACTGCAGTCAAAGGACAGTCCCCACACCAGCCCTCACGTTGAATGTAAGGCCCCGAAATAACTTAACCTCCAACTTACCAGGAACACTGACCAAACGACACCCACAAAACCCAACACTAAACTCCGGGAACAGTGCATCCAACACAACCTGATGGTTGCCAACAGCACAGGTTTGATAGAAGCCAGCTGGCAAACGGCGGGCCCCTCAGCTGTGGCCCTCTGCCCAACAGGGACTGCCATTCCCACGTAAACAAAACGGAGGGTGCACGCACAGCTAAAGGGAGGGTGCTTTAATAGGATAGATGCCTGCAGAATTTCAAGTACCGCAACTCACTATGTCAACCTAATCCTCGAATTAGCGAGAACCCAGTTCAGCCTTTTAAAGTGGTGCCTCTCAACCTCCTGGGAACATTTAGCGACATCTGGAGACATTTTCTGTTGCCACAACCAAGCAGGGGTTGCTAGTGGGTATAGGCCAGGAACGCTGCTAAACACCGCACAGGCCGCGGACAGCACCCCAGCAAAGAGTTACCCTGCCTCGATGTCAGGAGCGCCGGCACTGAGGTTGAGCATCCATTTTGATCCCAACAAACCCAAATCACAGAAAATAAAATGAAACTTTGAAAACAGAGTAAGATCCATCAAGATACGGCAATTTATTCTTGAAAATTTTGTTAGCCTCAAGAATCATTCGTTCATTCATCATATCCTCTTACCTCGGGGGGGGGGGGGTCTTAAAAAGGCTCTCACTGTGTTTGTTTGTTGTGTGGGGTTTGCCGTCCCACCAAGTACACAGCTGGCCCTGGGAAGGCAGGGTCAGGTTTGGTCACCACCACAGCTCCGGGGCCCGGCTCCCAGTCCTGGTGTGTCCTCAGGCACCATCTCGTGGGGTGGAATTCCTGGATGGGTTCTGTTAAGAGTCAAGCCAGCAACCCGGGAGTGCCTGCATCCCACCCGACCTCACAGCCTGGCCACCACCCTCCCTCCCCAACCAGGCAGTACCAGAAGAGCAGAGCACCACATTATTAGTCACTGTGGGGCTGCCCAGTGACTAATAATCGGAGGCTGCCCTCCCTGCGAGCTGACAAGAGCCAGATTGGGGTGAACAGACCGAGCCTGGCCTCTTCTCTCCCTCAAGGCGCAATCCAGTGCTTGGGACCTTGGTGAGCTTCATGACACAGGGCTCAAGAGTATGGAGAGGAATGAGAATGCACAAGTGAATATGCCCAGAGCATGGGTTCCTCATGGGGCCTGAGGACACCACACCCAGGGAGCAGCCTTTTTCCACAGTGACCACATTCCGTCATAACCACGGCCTCATTAGCACCCTAGATTTGGATTGATTTCCCCCTTGTCCCCGGGGAGGGAATGGAGGAGCACAGCGTGGGGCTGAGAGGGGCTGAGGGAGGGCAAAAGATTCCCTCCCCACAGGTCATTAAGGCACAGGATTGAGTTCCCTCATCTGTGGATCCAGAAATTTTAATTTGTCTGCACACCCACAGTATATGAGGCTCTGGGGAACTGACTTACCTTAATCAAACTCAAAGGTGACAGCTATATAAACCAAAATGCCAGTTTATTCATCACAAATGAAAACCCAACTGCTGAATCATTCGTACACGCTCCATCCTGTGGGGAACTCTCCACATGGAATTCAGGGATAGTCAGAACGTTGCAAAAGGTTGGACTGTTTGGACAGCTCTTGGAGGAGCATCTGAGCGTCCATGCTGGCCTGCCTGCCACAGAGGCTGGGTCCTGGAGCCCAAAGGCTGTCTGCTTCCTGGACTGTCTTGGTGTGCTCAGCACCAACCTCAGCCCCTGAGAAATTTTTGCAAACCACCTCTACCCCTCTTCTGTTGGTAGGGTATTTTTTTTCAGATTTGTTGATCAGGCTAAAACTTACCTGGGATATAAAGCAGCACACGAGGCACCTTTAATGAAGGCAGTTACGTCCCAGGCCTTCTTCTTCACTCTGTGTAGACATGTATGGCTCCACTCTCAGGGCTGTCTGTGGCCCCAGCACCCGGGCTCCTCCCGTTGCTCCTCTGTGTACTGACCCCAGATACTACCCTTCCCAGGACACGAGCAGGAACCACGTGGACTCCAGGTGGAACATTTCTAAACATAGGATGTGAGAGTAAATTTGGAGGGGGGCATCAAAGAATCCCTGAACTCACACGCCTTTGCCTTGGAAACACTGACCATTACGCCTTGAACCACTCATCCCATCTGTTGAGAGCAAAATTAAGTTTAGTGTGAGGGTTGAGAACTCCGGCTCCAGAGTCCAGTTAACTGAATGCAGAGGATTTGTTTACCTCTATCTGCTGTGTGACTGTGAGTGATTAACCTCTCTGAGCTTTCGTCTCATCTTTGTTTATAAAATGGAGATAATGTGATATTTACCTCATGGGGCTATTGAGACTACACTTGAAAGCCCTTACCTTAGCATCTGATCCATAGTTAGGGTTCAATAAAAATTTTTTATTACTGTTAATTACTACTCTACAAAGTCCTTAGTTCCCACTACCCAAGTGGAACATTTAGATCCTTGTTTTTTAAAGCGTAAGAACAAGAGAACGATTAAGCAAGTTAGGTTCCAGTGTAGGAAGTCTTAACATGGGCAGGAAACATCAAAGATTTACTATTGCCACAGCACAGAAGAAATCCGAATGGATTCCCTACCTTTTACCCGTTAATAACAACAGCAGCAAAAGTGATTATTTTCAGGAAATTGGCCCCCTTCAGTGTCAGAGGAAGACAATTTGGCTGTAGAAAGTCACAGAAGAAAAAATAAGAAGAATTAGCTCAATGACAGCATCTAGAAATCCCAGGAATGTTTTGAGATCGAGAAAGCCGTCGTAATGAGGAGGTTTGAACAGATACAAAATGGGTTCTCATGGTAGGAGCGCGCCAAGCACACACTGCGCAGGGACAATCCCGTCAGCGTACCATTACATTTAAATAGCATGCTGTGCTGCTACCAGAGGTCCCCAGGGGATGGGAGAAGCAGTAGAAGGAGCCCATCTGTCTTCGGTGACTGGGCCCAGATGTTGCCTTTGGAGACTTTCAAAGAAAGAGCACAAAGGAGGGAAGGGAAGGATCAGTCCGCGAAAGCGCAGACCTTAATGTCACCCCAGATGAAAATGAACTCAGAATCTAGCCATTTTTATTAGGAAAAAATGGACAAAAAGCCTTTTGGCATCAGTATCCGTTGTCACCTGAAGACTCGGGAAAACCATGTTTGAAATAAAAATGTTAAGCAGTCTCTAGTGGTTTCTGAAGTGGGATGTAACCATTACAATGATAAATTGTTATTTTTCTGTGATCCACATTTTTATCTTGCCCTAGAAAGAGCAGCTCAGAAGCACAGTGCTGTCTGAACCCCTAAGGGTGTGCCAATTCCTAAATAAAAAAGAGAAGCTAAGCACTTTTATTAAATAAATTACATCCACAATTCTCCAGCTCCATGTAGAACTGTCTCTTGGTTTTTCCCTCCTCTGAGCTTGAAAGGTGCTCTCATTATGCTGCAGAAGTCCCTTCTCTGGTTCTTAATAAAGTGACTAATAATCTAGAATGTTCGCATTAAGAGCACATTGTAATTACGATTAGAATATGTAAGTAGTGTGGTTTTCTGCCTATCAAAGGATTAATTTCAGACTCCTCTCAGGGACGATTTGTTTCCAAACCAGACTTTCTTTGTTAATAAAAATGTGATCATATGTGTTATTACAGCATTCTTGCTGTATTTTATCCGTGAGTGCTTACTCCAGTATCCTTCATGTGACCGGGGTTTTCGCCCCCATTGTTAATGGGGCTATTCTTTAAACAAACTACATTCACCTCGATTTTGTTTTAGCTTTGGCATTCATCTTCCAGGGAACTTTGGGAATATACTTACCACTTCAATGAACGTGCATTTCGCTATTCAAGCTCAGAAAAATAAAATGCCATAACTTCATCCAGGAGTCTCGCATGAATTTAGGTCCTCGTCACCCCCCTCCCCTTACACTCCACTACAGAAGTGCCCCAAGACTCTAAATCCTCTGCACTTGAAGAGCAAACCTGCCCTCTGGGGTGGAACCGAAGTCGAAAGTCAACACATCTCATTTGAATACAGATTTCTTCAGTGTGTTTTGCTGTTGTTGCTGGAGATGGAGGTCTGGCAGGTGGGGAAGGAGGGTAGGTACCACAGGTATTGTGTTGGCTGGGACAACCTGTGTGCCTTCTTTTCCCATGGGGACCCTCTGCTGAGTGGGACGAGATTTAGAAGCAGCCCCAGCGTGCCCTGACAGGTGGTCTGGGGTGGAAGGGAGGAGCTTTGGGTACTGCTGCCCCTGATGCTGACCTTCCTCTTTGTCTAAAACCTGTTAACTATGTGGGTGGTAGAAGCAGGACAGGGGGTCTAGAGAGCCAAGAATGGACAGGCACGATTTGTAGCAGCATCTTGGAGGCCCCAAGGCGGAAGAGAAAGACCATCTCCAGCTTTGCTACCTCTGTCCTGGTCACATGGCTGAACCTCAGACCCATTCGTTCCTGAGAGCAAAATGTGCAGCGGGGAGTTGAGGGTCCTCATTTCAGAGTGCAAGACACCTGGGAGAGCCCATGTGACTGTTCCAGTCCTCTGCAGGAGTTGCTGGGTCCCTAAAGCCTGAAGTCTGGGACAGCAGCGAGGGGCCGTCTGGAATGCCAAGAGGTGGACTCGCCTTCCCTGCGCTTACACAAGATTGTTCCAAGGGACAGAGATGAGAGTGGAGGCTCCTGCTGAGGGAGACACCCGAAGAAATGGAGACTGTTTTAAGTAGGAGCGTAGGGGTACCTTGGGCTAATGCAGATAGTGGCTCTTACCATCTTTTCTAAAAAGAAAAGAAGAAATGTGACTGCACTGGAAGCGTTGTTGCATGCCAACCCTTGGCAGAGCGTGCAGCATCGCTT